TGGCATCCTGTACAGGGTGTACCCCCAGCCTAGTGCCCTGTGATGGACTGGCATCCTGTACAGGGTGTACCCCCAGCCTAGTGCCCTGTGATGGACTGGCATCCTGTACAGGGTGTACCCCAGCCTAGTGCCCTGTGATGGACTGGCATCCCTGCCTTGTACCCACTGCTTCCTGTGATCAGCTCCAGACTCTCTGTAACCTTATACTGTAGTGTTCCTTTGTTACTGTAGTCGGTCCACGTTTTTGCTCCCTCCCAGCTCCCAGTCGGAGTGGACTGTCTGGAGGGGAGCTCGGAGGGAGCAAAAACATGGACCGACCGCGGGTCCCAAAAAAACGGATTGGGAAACACTGTTCTACCGGATAACAGTATATCCTGTACAGGAAGTATTCCCATTCCCTGGCAAAGGTGTACAGTGATTAATGTCATTAAATAGAGCTAACTGTACGAAACGCCCTGCAAATAGGCGACTTTCAGAGGAAGAAATTAATCGGTGAGATGACATCTGGTTAACATATGCTCGATATGGACACTGTATAAACCACACTTGTGTAGAATCTGTATTCTGCGTAGCATCTGTGTAGTAAATAGAGATTATGGCTACTTAAGACAGATTTGGTGCGTAGCCATCATTACATGTTGAGACCCTTCAGAGGAAAAGATACAGGATTGCGCGAGTGCCCAGAAATGTGGCGGCATGCTAATTAACTTAAGCACTTCTTTTGCAATTAGATGAATCTGGCTACATGTTTGGAGCATTTTAATTATTGGCAGTCAGCATTTCTGTCATATTGCAATTAAGAGAGCTGAGGATTCGGCAGCCCCAGCTTGCGGTAGATTAAATACGCCTTCGCGAATAATGCTGATTCGTAATCAGCAGCGACTAGGGGTCGAAGAGCTGCTTAGAAGCATTTAATTACCAAAATACAGATAGTCCAAGAGAGAAGATGTTGCAGAATATAGCAAAAACGTGAAGAAACACATCACCGACAAAGAAATCCCTCATCATTCCTTATTGTTAGCATTGAGCATCCTTTATGCATTCCTTGACGCCTTTTCCCGTCTGTATGTAGCCGTTAGCGTGTGTCGAATACGCACTCATCTTCTAAACACAGATACGGCAAACCAGGCCTTGATCTTTGCACCAGTGGCAAATTGCAGTGAAAAGGGGCCTGTCAAGTCCCGACTCACAGCACAATTCACAGTAAGAGAGAGAGAGAGAGAGAGAGAGAGGTGTATGTTTAATTCTTGCCATTTTTTGAAAAAGAATGCCCTTCGTTCTGACCAGTGCATCCTCCCAGCTAATCAGCATGTCTGATTGTGATTGGCTGGATGCCCTCTCTTGCCCCTCCCACATGAATGCATTTTAACAACATGAAATCGCAATAATGCACCTTGTCTTTAGTTGTCACTCTTTGACATTCAATACCCTATGACATCACTTGAAGTTTCCTTTGGAAAATTAATAAAAACAAAGTTTTTTTTGTAAATCGTAAATGACATCAGACAGACCTAGTGTGCATTTGGTTAGCTAATTCAGTTTTTTGGAACCTGTTCTGTTAATTTCAGGTGTCCACTCCCGCTCTCCCATTCCTCAGAGGGCCCTCAGAGGCCTGTTCTTAAAAGATATCTCACTCAGGATGGCGTCAGAAAAGCGATGATCCGTGCAATCCGAAAGGTAAAAATCTAGTCATTTAAAATGCGTAACAAATTGGATTATGCCGTGCGAGGTAAAGCTTCCCGCTGCTCT